GTAGTATTCAGATAAGCTGAGTGCAGTAAAAAGTACTTTTAAAGCAATAAACAGAGTATTTTAGCTTCCTGTACTGAGTTTCAGGCTGTGGCGTGAAGTACTTTTTCTTAGTAGTACTTTGATTTCCTGTGTTGTACTTTAAAAACTGTAATTACACAAAAACTGTGCAGTGAAACAAAAAGTACTTTGACTTTCCTTCAAGTTTAACCAACTCCATTAATACTACAAAGTACTGCATTAGTACATACTACATGTGAACTCATTCAGAGGGAAAAAGTACCTTAACTATAGTACTTAACTATTTTGAAGTACATATTATTATTAACCTAGAGAAAAATACTACGTCACTACTGTAAAGCACAGACTGCAGCCGTGTACTCGGATGCTTTTTTCCAAGTACTTAAACATATAAACTAAATACATGTAGTACTGCTGAATCTGGCTCGCAGTACTCCGGTTTGTTGTTTTTAAAAGTACACGATTTAACCACTAGACCCGTTTCCCAAGTACCTCAATACTACACAAGATGCAGTAGTGCCGTATTACTAAATTAGTAGAAAGTACTTCATGTCCAAAACTCAACACCTGAGTCATGAAGTACTGTGATTTTCTGTGCTGTAGTTTAAAGTATTACTCTGATAGTTCCTACTGGAGTAAAGTATCTCTATGCAGTATTAGTATTCGAGGAATCTACTTTTCAAGTACTTGAAAACTAAAAACAGGGGAAAGTACTCCATTATACAACTGTCACTGAAAAGCTTTAGTAGTACTAAGAGAATAAAACTGAAGTACTTCCAGTTTCTGAGCAGCTCAAACACGTATTTAAGTTCAGTAGTACTCTGATAAAAGTACTTTAAACACAGCCTGAGACCTGAGACAAAGGGACTCAGAGTACTTGTACTGTGTATTTTGTAAGTACCTGCAGTAACACAACTCTTGTAGAATACAAGAACAGAGAAACAAAAAATACTAATACTCTGCTTTATGAGTACATACAACTATTAAAACTGCAGTATTCAGTAGTAAAAAGTTTCCCTTTGAAATGCAGTCTAGAGCAGTACATGTACAGTACCTCAAACCTTAGTTAGAAGTAGTAGTACTGTAGTACTAATTAGTAAAAAAGACTTACTTCCATCTTATAGTTTAAGTACACAAGAGGACAAATAAACACCAAAGTACTCCATGGTCCAGGTCATTCAAAAATGTACTTATACATTGTAGTACTGCATTACAAAGTACTTTAAACTGCAGTCTATAACATGGGACAAGTACTTTGGTTTACTAATGAATCCACCACTTCACTTAGTACACGCTTAAGGTACCAGAAATGTAAATAGTACTGCAGTTCCATTTTACAAATACCTTAAACTTGATAAAAACTGTAACAAATGTATTTTAGTACTACAAACTACAGCCTGATCCTACGATAAGTACTCCCAGTTACTCTTTGCTATTCAAAAAGTTTCATTTGTACAGTACAGTTACTCTTTAAATCTTGTGGAGTACACATTTGAAGTACTAGAAAATGTAATCATTCGCCCAGAAATAGTACTTGTATTTACTGGTAAAAACAACTTTATACTGTAGCCTGAAACAAAGTACTCTGACTGTATTTAAAAACCTTCATTACTGCAGTACTTCCCTCTGAAATTTACTTCAGAATGTAAATAAGGATTTTTGTGTACTTCAACTATCAAAATACTTAAAAACTGTACTTAGTAGTACTTTATTACTAGTTCATAAAAGCTACTTTGTACTATAGTCTGAAATGTGACACAAAGTACTCTGATCTACTGTAGTACATTGTTAAAAAGCTTCATTAGTACACACTTGAATATTTCTACTATCTACATACTTTAAAACTGCACTTAGATATAGCAGTACACATTAAAAAGTACTTTAAAGAGCACCGTGTACCACAGGACGAGGGTCACACTGCAGTACAAGCTTCATTACTGCAGTGTGACCCTCTGAAGTGTAGTACAACAGTAAGAGGAAACACAGTTTTCCAAGTACAAAACTATACGACTGTATTACTAATTATTAAAAAAGTACTTTGAATTCGATCCTACTGAAGTACTTTGTTTAAAAAAAGCTTCATTACTGCAGTACTTCCGTCTGAAATTTACTAGAGTGAAAATAAAAATATTTGTGTACTTTCACTTTCAAAGTACTTTAAACTGCACTTCGTAGTGCTGCGTAACTAATGAATAAAGTAGTACTTTCAGTCTGGAATATGAAACAAAGTACTCTGATTTACTGTAGTACATTGTTAAAAGGCTTCGTTAGTACACACGGAGTGAAAACAGAAATACTTGAATACTTCTATTAACCGAGTACTTTAAACAGCCCTTACTTACAGCAGTAGTGCATTACTTATTAATAAAAAAGTAACTGTTACATCCTGAAACAAAGTACTGTGACTTACTGTTTGGTGTTTTTAGTTACACGTCTAAATTTACTGCAGGACAGATTTAAAGCAACAGAAAGCAAAAATACTCGAGTACTTCTATCCCACCCCGAGGTACAGTAGTACAGCATAAGCGATGAGTAAAAGTACTTTGTGCTCCAGCCTGCAGCGCGAGCTGGGGGCCTGAGTACTGGGACCTGTAGTTTTGGGGTGGGGGGTCCCGGTCCACCTGAGAAGCGTCCATACGTGCAGCACCTGAGCGGAGGTGCTCGGCGGCTGTTAGCGGGCTGTGGAGGCCGCCGGTTAATTGGAGTAATTGCTCCCCGGGTGGGACGCCAAGTTGTCGGGATAAACTTCCCCGAGCAGCCCCGCGTGCCTCCGCAGAGGGCCCGAAAAGGGAAGAAATGAAGCTAAAATGGAGGGTTTCAAGATGAAAGCCGCCAAGTGCTTCTTCTTCTGCTGCTGCGGGAGTTCAAACACTGAAAAGTGGGTTTTTGTTTCGGGCAGACAAATTAATGTTTTATAACCGTGTTATTAAGCCTCTGCGGCCCTGTGGACGCTTGGTCCCCCCTCGGAGAGCCCCCCGGTCGCCTGTTTGGGAGAACCGTCGCGGTTTACGGGCTGTTTTTCGGTGTTTCGGTGTGAAAAAAACCGTCCGACATTGCTCCGTCTGAGGCTGAGAACAAGTGGATAACGTTAGCCGTAGCCGCTAATGCTAACCATCCTGTTAGCCGCGCGGAGCTAACGCAGCCAGCAGCCACGCTGATAACAACTTCCATCAAAGATAAAAAAACACGGCGGCCGAGGGGCGGCAGGGGCCGGGGGCACGGCTCGAATCGGGCTCCAACAGTCCCGAAAGACGCCATCTTTTTACAAGAGTCAAGAAAAAAAGCCCTGACAGCGAGCAGGCGTCGGTGGGTCCAAGTTACATCGGCCCCTTGTCCTCCAGAATATCAACTCCTAGAATAAGAAACAGAGCAGCTAAACACACAGAAACACACGGGAACACAGCGGACACACACCGGCCGACAGCCCCGCACACCTGCCCGCAAACAGCCGCAGACACTCGACCACGGGCGGCCGCAGGAGACGCGTAAAGTTTGACAGCAGGGAAAATTAAAGTTATGAAATTAAAAAGCCCAATGTGCACTTACTCAGCAGCAGTCCTCCTCTGGATTAATTAAATATATATGTGTGTAAGAAGCCGATCCGCGGTGAAACAGAGGCGCACACACAGCCCGGCCGCCTCCTCCCCGCGGGGCTGGACCCAGCTGTCGTGTTTCGGGGTGACTTTTAGTGGAAATTGTGTAAAAAGAGAGAAACTGAAGCTACAAAACAAGAAGAACTCTTCTTCAATCTCATTCAGCTCAGCCTCAGCACATCACAGATCCCTGCGCCGCGGAGCTGGACGAAGGGGCACAAAAACTCCTCGCGGCTCCGGCGGGAGCTCGCTTATCCGCCGGGGAGCGGTCGATGTCGGTCCTTATGGCCGTTAAAGTTCGTTAAATCGGGCCGATGAGCGAGCCGAGGCGCGGGGGGGATGTGTTCGGGAAGCGGACTACTTTTTGTGTCGGTGCGGCGAATTTATTTCACTTTGCCTAAGGAACGGCGGTGCTGCGACTCCCATTGCCTAGGGAAAAAACCCGGATGTAAACTCAGTGAAACTCTATGGAGAGAAAGTCACACACACACACACCGTGAAACTCGGCGGCGGAGCGGAGCACTTTGTTGTGTTGTTGTGTTACCGACCAGCTCCGCGCAGCACGCCGCCCTTCAGCCTCCACGTTCGGCTGCTCGCTGCTGGACCCTCCGGACTGTTGCACTTTGTGGAGGAAAAGGAGGAGGAGGCCCCTTCTCTCCTGCTTCCAGAGAAACGAATAAATAACTCCGTGGAGGAATGTGACCACAGAATAAACTCACAGAAGCCAAACGGCAAACAAATCTGAGCTGCTTCTTCATTTTATGATGTCGTCCTGCACAGTTATTGTTCAGGCTTTCATATTTTCCTGCCCTTGGCCTCAGCTGTTAAAGCCCCTTTTTGTAATTACCCCGCAAATTGTAATTAAAGCTTTCAGCAGCAGGGGGCAGAGTTTCATCAGTGGCTGGGTAATGTCTGAGTAAAATGTTACAGGGGCTCCATGTAACCTTAGAAAGCACCCGTAGCTGTTATAGGTCTGTTATAGGTCTTAGCCTGGTAGCAATAAG